AACTTGAGTAAAGACAGAAAAAGATAAGCAATCTTGCACAAGCACAAAATGTAAACAGACTTCCATTTCCCACTAACAGGATGTTAGCAATTTTCTGGGAGGTTGTTTGTGTATCAACCTACTACATTCACAGTATGAAAAAAAGGACACTTTTCTTTTTTAATACAAGTGCCCTCAACAGTCAATAAAAGGAAGCACTATAAACTATTTTATAATAATGAGAAAGAAATTTAAAAGAACACCTGGTCACAGACCAGGGGGGCACTGACCCTCAAAACCCTCTCCAGGTAAATCAAACTTGCAAAAAAAAAAAAAAAAAAAATTGTCATACTCAATTTCAATGAAAGTCCCACAGAGAGACCAACAGGATCTATGAGTATAATATTCTTCCTGGCATTTACACCACACCACTATATGTAGTGGTATGGGAAAAATTCCAGGTGGATTTTTTTACGAAGGTCAAATTACAGCTACCAATGAGGTAATAGAATAAAATATAAGCTAGCTTAAAGATTAACCCTTTCACTGTCAGCATTTAAAAAAAAATTGATTTTCTTCTGAAATGATAATCTTTTTTTCATAGGTAATGACACCAAAAATGTGAAATTTGACAGAAATTTACACAATATGCAGTGCATAGTGGTCTGGGAACAATTTACATCAATGATTTCACCCAGTCCTATTTTAAGCCCACTCCATTGCTCAATTCAAACAAACTCTTAATTTTTTCACTAGTATGTCTTCGGTGCTATCAAATGAGCACAAGAAACTGCCCTTTCAACTACCAGAGCTACCCTATAAAGTGCACAGAATTCAGCAATTGCCAAATTTTGCATAAAATTAAAAAATTCCAATTTAAAACAAGTACAAAATAATTACTATATACTTTCCAGGCACTAAAGCAACATTTCCTCCGTTCATTAATCATATTGTCACTCATCCATATTACACTTGCCTTCCATTTCGAATTCTTCACACAAGTTTTCCCCATTACCCAGATAAAATTTAACCAGGAATGATTAGTCATGGTTTATGGCAGGCATCCCAACAGCTGAACGAGACCTAGTAAGAACCCATAAAACAGACCAGGGGTGTAGTGGGGCCTTATCCGTCTTCAGGAAAAGTCAGGATCACAAAATTTTTTCGAGTTATTTCCAGTCCTGGAACCAAACAAGATCACTTATTTCAGTAGTAAGTCTTCCATTCTACCAAACGATACCAGGAAAAAAAAAAAATTTCAGAAAATACCTAAAATTTATTTTAAATCAAACACATGGTCAGAGATTAGCTTTTCCCATCATGCACTGCATAGGGCAGGATTTTTTTATACTGTGCACTCACTGCATACTTTTTCTCTAGACAGACACTAAGCCAAAATTTACTGCTCCAACTTACGAGGGAGCCTAGGTAATTTACACGATGTATATGAATGATATTTTGTGTAACTGCATTACTGTATACCTGTACTACAGTGGAACCTCCACTTACAAGCGCATCCACGTGCGAGTTTTTCCAGATACGTGCAGCTGCCGTGCGAGTTTTTCCAGATACAAGCAGCTGCTCGGTCAATTTTTTGCTTCCAGACACGAGCAAAATTTCCAGATGCGAGCGGGCCTCAAGGGAGGTTAATCGCTTTGACTGTCACGGCCGTATATATACGTCTTACGAGGTACCGTGTTTGACGTATATATACTCATAAATTCTAGCGGCTTCAAATCAAGCAGGAGAAAGCTGGTAGGCCCACATGTGAGAGAATGGGTCTGTATGGTCAGTGTGCACCATATATAAAAAATCCTGGAGCACACAGTGCATGAGAAAAAAAAACTCCAACCGTTTTATTTTAATTAAAATGCTGACTTTGTGGTCTATTTTCATATAGTATTTATGGTTGTATTCTTGTTTTCTTGGTCTCATTTGATAGAATGGAAAATATATTATAGAAATAGAGGTGATTTTAATTGATTTTACTATAAAAAGAACCTGGAAATGGAGCACAAAGTACGGGAAATGTTTGATTTTTGCCAATGTTCAAAAGTAAACAAATGATGTCATTGTCCAATAAATGTCCAAATAGCCATTCTAATATGCAGTCATGAATGGGTTGATGTTATTTATACAATTATTACAGTATTGCAGTAGTCTGCATAACAGTAAATCTATTTTTTGTTTGAATAAAATTTCAAAATAAAAAGCAAGAGTAATATCAGAGGGGCCTGGAGACATAACTGATGAACAAAAAAAATGTTATTTTAAAGCCTGGAATGTCTGCATTGTTCATTCTGGTCCTTATTTTGAGATTGTCATAATTTTTAATTTTCATGAAATTGGCCAAATTGCAAATTTCTGACCACGTTATTGGGTAGATGAAATCGGTAAATAGACAGTTTCTTGTACTCAATCGATAGAAAAAATGGAGTTCTGATGAAATAGCTATGAGTTTGGTTGACTGGAGTAATGGAATTAGCTGAAAATTGGGCTCAAAGTGGGCGAAATTGCCGATTTGTAAATATCGCCGAGGTCGCTAACATCACAAGAGCGTAATTCCATCAGTTTCCATCAAATTTCGTTTTTTTGGTGTCTTTACAATCGGGCAAAGATTTTCTATCATTTCATAAGAAAAAATAATTTTTTTTTTTTTTGAAATTTTGCGACACCAGGAGACACCTCAGGATTGGGGGTTGCGACAGTCAAGGGGTTAAATGACACTGGTGAGGGGGCCCTTGCTCTTGATCTAGGGAATTGGATCTCAGCTGTTTGTTGGAGAATCTTACTGAAACTTGGGCAATGCATGATGAAAAGATGCTCCTTAACATACACCAAAAATGAAAGAAATCGGACCATGAGGTAGCAGTGACAAAGTGTAGCATTAACCCTTTGACTGTCGCAAGCCCCTTTCTGAAACTGTCCATCTATGTCGCAAACTTTTTGGAAAAAAAATTATTTTTTTCTTATGAAATGATAGAGAATCTTTTTCCGATGGTAATGACACCAACAGTACAAAATTTGGTCAAAAACTCACGGAATTACGCTCCCGCGAAGTTAGCGGTCTCTGAAACATATGCGCATCGGCGATTTCGCCAACTTTGAACCCCGTTTTTGGCCAATTCTGTTGGTCTAGTTGACCAAACTCATAGCTATTTCTTTAGAACTCCATTTTTTCTATCAGTGGAGTACAAGAAACCACCCATTTACTGATTTCAACTACCCAATAAAATGGTCAGAAATTGGCAATTTGGCCAATTTCACGCAAATTAAAAAAGATGCCAATTTCAAAATAGGGTCCAGAATAAACAATGTAGACATTCTTGGCACTAAAATGACATACCCTCTGTTCATTAGTCACGTCTCTAGGCCCCTCTTATTAATATAAGAGGGGCCTATTGTTTTCTATTTTGATTTTTTATTCATACAAAAAATACAAAATTTACTGTTATGCAGACTACTGCATTATTGTAAAAATGGTATAAATAATATCATGCACTAGTGAAAGAATATTAGACTCCTTAGTTGACATGTATTGGATGTGTGGTGTAATTTGCTTACTCCTGAACATTGGTTAAAATCGAACATTTCTACTATTTTAAGCTCAATTTCAAGGTCATTTTCATCATGAAAATAATGAAAATCATCTCTATTTCTGTAACATGTTTTCCATTTTATCACCCGAGACTATGAAAACGAGAATACAACGATAAATACTATACAAAAATACACCTCAAAGTCGGCGTTTTAATCCAAAAAACATTCAAAATTTTTTTGTTCTCATTATGCACTGCGTGCTGCAGGATTTTTTTATGTGGTGCACACTGACCACACAGACCCATTCTCTCACATGTGGGCCTACCAGCTTTCTCCTGCTTGATTTGAAGAAGCTAAAATTTACGCGTATAAATACGTCCAAAACAGTGGCACGTAAGACGTATATATACGACCAAAACAGTCAAAGGGTTAAGAGTGTAGCAATTATGTGTAGCATTAAGAGTGTAGCAATTAAGTGAAGCATTAAGAGTGTAGCACTTATAAGTCACTGACTTTTTTGGGTTATCCTAGGTTCTCTACACATGTAGTCAGGAGCAGGAATGGCTGCTGTGGTGGCCCTATAAACTCCAACAACAATGGCTGCTGTGGTGGCCCTATAAACTCCAACAACAATGGCTGCTGTCACCACCACTAGCCACATACCTAATGACATGTATTTTATTCATTCTAGTGCATATATCTTGTTTCTATGTTATTAATATTGTTTATTATGTCATGCACATGAATTGTGATAGATAAATAAGCTGTAGAGTTGATATTATGGAAATTATTAAAGCATTTTCTCGTGCCTGGAATTCCACTGGAACGAATTAATTCCATTTCAATTAATTTAAATGAGGAAAATTGACTCTGCAAACGAGCAAATCCAGTTGCGAGCAACTGGATTAAACTCGTAAGTAGAGATCTATGTACAAGACAGGGAAAGGGTTAAACAAAATTTACCAAAATAAAAATACATGGTGACGGTAACAATGTTTACTAAACCAAGACATTAACAAGAGAACACTGTACCATGTCAGTCATACACTGCACTCACCAGTTATTCTTCATATAATGAAGGCAATCCCTTTGGATGGTTATGGTGCGCTGCATCTTCATCTGAACTACTACTGTCAAGATGCATCCACGAACTGACACATTGCCAGTAAAGGGCTCTTCATGTCAATGTATGTTGTACCCTCAACAGCCTATAATATAAACTACTGTTAAACAATTTTACCGAGGAAAAACAAACAAAATATATCAAATTACTGCACAGATATACCCGAATACTACAAGAAGTGTTAAGCTAGCTTCAGAAAAATGGCTTACCAGTAATCATAGTTATAGTCCGTTTCAAAAAAAGCCCATAAAGGGACCCTTGGGATCTGAGTATAATATGTTGTCTGGAGTTCATGCCATACCACCTTATGTAGTAGTATGGAAAAACATTTCAGGTAATTTTTTTTATCAAGATCAATTTACAATTACCAGTACTGAGAAAGCATAAATTGTAATCTAAGATCATTACACTTCATATTTGTAACCCCCAAAATTAAGTGCGGACAGTACTGCAATTTCAAAATAATAAATAATTATTTATCTTCTGAAATGGTACAGAATGTTTTTTGACGGTAGTGCGAAACTGAATGGAAACTGACAGAATGACACCGACGCAAATTTGGTGGTCTGGGCTCAATATAAACATCAGCAATTTCACCCATTATGAATCCCATTTTAAGCAAATTCTAATGTTCATTTCATCAAAATTCTTAGCTCTTTAATTAGCACTCCTAATGGTTATAATCACAGCCATGATTTTTAAAGAGGTGGACTGGTAATCAAGCAGAAGTCCTCAGTTATATGACCAAAAGCTCCAGCTGAGAGTCACATCACTAAGACCCACATCAGAAAAAGACTTTTAATGTTTCCTGACAAACCTTATCTAATCTAACCTTAGCTCTTTCACTAATATGACTTCCATTTTATCAAATATGCACAAGAACCCATCCATTCAAATATAACAACCAACCTATGTACATAGAATTAAAAACTTCCAATTTAAAAGAAGTCCAAAATAAAAACTAGGCATTCCAGCTACCAAAGCAGCCTTTCCTCTGTTCATTAACCCTTTGACTGTCGCAGGCCCCTTTCTGAAACTGTCATTCTATGTCAATAAAATTTTGGAAAAAAAAAATTAATTTTTTTCTTATGAAATGATAGAGAATCTTTTCTCGATGATAATGACACCAAAAGTACGAAATTTGGTCGAAAACTCACGGAATTACGCTCCCGCGAAGTTAGCAATCTCGGCGACATATATGCATCGGTGATTTCGCCGACTTTGAGCCACGTTTTTGGCCAATTCCATTGTTCCAGTTGACCAAACTCATAGCTATTTCTTTAGAACTCCATTTTTTCTATCAGTTGAGTACAAGAAACCGCCCATTTACCAATGTGAACTACTCAAAGTGGTCAGGAATTGGCAATTTCGCTAATTTCACGCAAATTAAAAAAGATGCCAATTTCAAAATAGGGTCCAGAATAAACAATGTAGACATCCTTGGCACTAAAACAACATATCCTCTGTTCATTAGTCATCTCTAGGCCCCTCTTATATTACTATTGCTTTCTATTTTGATTTTTTATTCATACAAATAAATACAAAATTTACTGTTATGCAGACTACTGCATTGTAAAAATGGTATAAATAATGTCAGTGCACTAGTGAAAGAATATTAGACTCCCCAGTTGAAGTGTATTGGACATGTGGTGTGATCTGCTTACTCCTGAACATTGGTAAAAATTGAACATTTCCACTACTTCGAGCTCAATTTCAAGGTCGTTTTCATCATGAAACTAATCAAAATCATCTCTATTTCTGTAATCTGTTTTCCATTTTATCACCCGAGACCATGAAAATGAGAATACAACAATAAATACTATACGAAAATGCACCTCCAAGTCGGCGCTTTAATCCAAAAAAACGGTCAGTTTTTTTTTTCTCATTACGCACTGTGTGCTGCAGGATTTTTTTTGTGGTGCACACTGACCACAGATCCATTCTCTCACATGTGGGCCTGCCAGTTTTCTCCCGCTTGATTTGAAGCTGCTAGAATTTACACGTATAAATACGTCAGAAACAGTGGCACATAAGACATATATATATGACCGAAACAGTCAAAGGGTTAATCACATTTCCTGGGTTCTTGTATACACTTGCCTTCCAATTTGTATCTATCATATGAGAAAACTATTAAAACTATTTCTTGGATGATAAAATATCAAGAAAGATTGGTCACAGTTTAGGCCTTCCCAATAACTGTAGCAGGATAGACTGAGGGCCCTGCATCTGCACTCTCTAGAAAGGCACAGAATTAAGGGGATATGACTGAGGTGTATAGATGGAAAACAGGAATAAATAAAGGGAATGTAAATAATGTGCTAAGAAAGGACTCGCAGTAATGGTTTCAAGTTCGAAAAATTTAGATATAGAAAAGATATAGGAAAAGACTGATTTGGTAATAGGTTAATAGGTAATAGATTAGATAAATACATGAATGGGTGTGAGTTGGACCTAACTAGCTTGTGCTAATGGGTCTGATACAGTGCTCCTTCCTTCTTAAGTGGCCAATGGCTTAGGCCAGTAAGGAAATTGAACCTGCCTCGAAAGAGCCAATAGGCCTGCTGCAGTGCTTCTTCCTACTTATGTTCTTAATGGGGCTCACCCTAACACAGAAAAATCACCAAAAATCAAATATTTCTGTCACTTTGATCCATATAACAAGCTTCTTCCAGTCAGAAACTGACCAAATTCATGTCTATTTCCCTAATGTCTTCCTTTCTATCAAGATCAGGGGTTTGCTTTTCCCATTATGCTCAGTGTATGGAAGGATTTTTTTTTCATACTGTGTACTCTCATTGCACAAACCCGTTCTCTCATGACTGGTCTCCATATTACAGAATAGACATGGATGCACTGGAAAACAGAGAAGTTGATACCATAAGAACATAGGAAAGGAGCAGCACCGCAGCAGGCCTACTGGGCCAGGCAAGGCAGGTCCAAATCACCTACTGGCCTAAGCCACTGGTCCAAGCTAGTCAGGTTCAAGTCACACCCACCCACACTCATGTATTTATCTACATACAGTGGACCCCCGCATAGCGAACTTAATCCGTGCAAGAGGGCTGGTCGTTATGCGAAATGTTCGCTATGAATTTTTTTTCCCCCCTAAAAAAATAGGAAAAAAATTAATCCGTGCAAGAAACCCAAAAGTTAAAAAAAAATTTTTTTTTTACCACAAAAAAATGTTTTTTTTTAGTACACAAAAACAAAAAAAGGCATGCAAAATTACTGACATTACTTTTATTGAAGATCTGGTGATGATTGATGGGAGGAGAGGGAGAGAGAGGTTGTTTTAGAAGGGGAACCCCCTTCCCATTAGGATTTAGGAAAAAAGTCCCTTTTCCGGGGGTTACTTCCCTTCTTCTTTAATGCCCCAGGACCACTTCAGGTCAGGGGCCCTGTCGCACAACAAAAACTGTCCCCCAGGCTCTTACCTCCCCTTCCTTTTACGATTTTCTAAAAAGGGCCATAAAATTGTCTTTAAATGGTCACCAGCACGGGTTTCAACAGCTGGTTTAGGGTGTTTTCATCCATAAAGGTTTGCAGTTTTAACCCACTGGCACACATTTCCTAATTTTTGAAAGTAGGGACAATGGATTCCCAACTGGCAAGGGTTCTCAGGGGTTTGCCCCAAACCCTTTAAAATCTTTCTTAATTCCATACTAATTCCACCCCTTTTTACCCAGGGGTTGGGACTAGAAGCTTTTTTTGGGGCCCCTGGGCACTTTTTTCCAGAAACAGCACCGAAAACATGTAAAAATACGAAATTTCCAGTGTATGCTTGAATGTTACGCGGAGGCTGGGTGGTAAACTGGGAGGGGGGCACCTGTGAGGCGGGTGAGGCCCCACATTGGGGCCCTCTCGGCAAGGTCGTGGCGGGTTTTTTTTCCACTATGCGGGGGAAAATTTTGGCGAACAAACTTCGCTATCGGTTTTCGCTATGCAAGGCGTTCGCTTGCGGGGGGGCCACGTATTTTTTAAATTTTATTTTAAAAAAAATAAAAAAGTAAACGACAAGGGTCAGCAGTGCTGGGGGAAGAGGTGGAGGGGTATCAGAGGTGGGGGGGGAAAAGGGTGGAAGGGACACCAGAGGCTGTGTGTCAAAGTTCGTATAGTAAAGCAGTTGCTGATAAAGAGTCAAAAAGTAATCGTAAGTCAAAGGTAGAGCCATCTGCAAGAAAGGAAGATAAGGTAAGAGCAGTAGGGCATCAGTGGAGGTAAATCCTGCGAGCTCGCTGGTAAATCGGACAATCCACAAGTGAAGAACTGAAATAGAGACCCAACAAACCTCACAGAGAGGAATAGGGCGTTGTTCCATGAGTTACCCATGGGTAAGGAGAGTATGGCCGATGCAGGAGAAGGGAAAGCAAAGTCTCCCAAGTACAGTAACAGTGATAAGAAGATGGCCACAGACCCAAGAGCGGTTTAATAGAGTGCAATTTGTTATGGTGTATGTCCGGCCACCATTGTTGCCAATGGTCGAGAAGACAGAGATGACGGTAAAATCATTCCTGAACAGAATACTGTACCTCTATAGGAAACTGGAAGATCACGCACCACTGACGGTGCAGCAGCGTCTGCCTGTTCATTGCCCCACACATCGTGTCCAGGGACCCAACAGAAAACGACTTTGTTTTTGCTAGCTACAAGGTACAACCGAAGTTGAATACAAAGGATCAGCGGATGAAAGGAATCAAATTGTTTAATGGCCTGTAAAACACTGAGGGAATCCGAAATGATCACAAACGCCGAAAGAGACGTACACGTAATACAGAGAAGTGCTATGAGGATGGCATACAACTTGGCGGTAAAAATACTAGCCGAGTCTAATAAATGACCCCAGACAACGTCGTCAGGGAACACCGCAGCAAACCCAACACCATCAGAAGATTTAGAACCATCTGCATAAAGAGTGACAGCATGAGTATGTGAATGGAAGTGATCAAGAAAAAGAGCATGAGAAGCAGCCTTAGGTAGAAGAGCTTTGGTGCACAGCAGTAGGGGAGAACAGACATGAATCGTCAGAACCTCCTGAAGGGGAAGGGAAAAGGCAGACGCTACATGAACATACAAGGGAAGCAACTAGTATTTAGTCACTTAGTATTTAGTAAACTTACTCCACAATTTGTAATAATTTAGGGTTAAGAATTAATCTAAGTTTGCCCGAAATGCCTAGCCATGCTAGGTGTTCTAGTGGCCCCCTCTGTAATTAGTATTTTATTACATGTAAACCACACAATAACCAAAAACTGTAAACCCTGCATTGTAATCCTTATAGAGAATAAACTTGGATTTGATTTGATTTGATTTGAAGACCGGAGTGAAGACATAGAGAAAACGGTCGGAGTAAGCAGGGGCGCCGAACAAATATCAAGCTTCTACTAACGTCTGAGATCAACCTATACGTAGAAGGAACCTGAAGGTCATGAGGGAGGACAAAGTAACAAAGGCAATGAGCATCACGAGGACCAGCTAAGGAAGAAACATTAGCCTCAGCAGAGGCTTTCAACAAGGGATGAACGAGAGGCACCAACGCATCAACGTAGACCCTAATGATGAAGGGATTCTAACTTAGAAAGAGTTGCAGGAGAAGCTGCA